AAGGTGGCGGGTTGGAATCCAGCCTGGGCCCACCAAACAACAACGACAGCTGTAACCAAAAAATAGCTGGGCGTTGTGGCAGGCGCCTGTGGTCCCAGCTACTTGGGAGGCAGAGGCAGGAGACTCGCTTGAGCCCAAGAGTTGGAGGTTGCTGTGAGCTATAATGCCACAGCACTCTATCCAGGGGGACAGCTTGAGGCTCTGTCTCAAAAAAAAAAAAAAGAAAGAAAGAAAAGTAAAGTTCAGACAGCAGCTGAGGAAAAAATTCCAAATCCAGAAGGCACCTGTGGCTCAAAGGAGTAGGGTGGTGGCCCAATATGCCAGAGGTGGTGGGTTCAAATCCAGCCCGGGCCAAAAACTGCAAAAAAAAAAAAAAAAAAAAAAAAAAAAACCCAAATCTACCCAACTGTTGAGAGAACCTCTCTAGCCAAGACAAATTGGAAAAAAAATTAACAGTAAAAAGGATTTTTAAATGCAGATATTCTAAGGAAGGGTAACACTGACAGATCACATAGAGAAAAGCACTTTATCAAAGAGCCTAGAGCAGGAGAGGACCCCAGCTGCCTTAGCCAGGATGTCAGAGAAAGGAAAGGAGGGCAGGGCCCAGACAGGATGCCACCCCATTAACCCTGACCATCCCCTGCCCACACATGACCAGTCCTGGCTGAGTTAAGACCAGCATAAGCTACCCAGGTCTTCATTCAGTGTCTATCTACAGGCCCCTCTTGCTCTTAGGACCCACACTGGCACAAGGACCTAGATCATCGAGGAAAAGGAAAGGAACAGACAGGAATAAACAAATGTCAGCATAATGAGAGGAAGCAAACCTTGACCAAACCAGAGAGTTTCCAAGACTCTTCCTCCATCCCTTGGCTGGGTGCTAAGAGGTTGGAATGACCTAGTCTAAGCCGGTAGCTGAACCAGAAGCAAAATAATAGCACTTACTACATCCAAGAGCAATACTTAATGTTTCACACATATTACCTTATTCAATCCTCACTACAACTTTATGAGAAGGGTACAATTATTATCCATGTTTTACAGATAAGGAAACAGAGAATGGAGGGAAAAAAACTTTTTTATTTTTTTGAGACAGTCTCACTTAGTTGCCCTGGGGTTGAATGTGTGGTGTCACAGCTCACAACAACCTCAACCTCTTGGGCACAAGTGATTCTCTTGCCTCAGCCTCCTGAATAGCTGGGACTAGAGGCACCCGCCACAACATCCAGCTATTTTTAGAGATGGAGTCTCACTCTTGCTCAGGCTGGTCTCAAACTCCTGAGCTCAGGCAATCCACCGCCTCAGCCTCTCACAGTGGCAGGATAATAGGCTGAGCCACCACGCCCAGCCTGAGAATGAAGAAATTCAGTAACTTACCAAGGTGATCATGGGCAAAGCAAACATGGAAACCCTGCCTAGAACCCACCTTAGTTGGCTTCTCAGAGCCATGCTCTTAGCCACAATGCTATTAGCAGAGATCACGCTTAGCCAGAAACTGACAATCACACTGGGAGGTTGGGAGGGGAGCCTGTAAAAGGTAGGACTATAAATCTTCCCGTAATTCCTGCAACAGGAAGTCAATAGATGTCTAAAACTGATAAACCAAGAAATATCACTATGAACATATTATTTAGAAATGTAGAGGTAAACACCAGACAAAACAGCCAAAAGGGTTACAAGTGGTTACTTCCATGGAACAGAACTTGGAGTAGGGAACCATTTTCTTTTTTAAGGCCTTTTGATATTATTAGATCAACTTAAAATCATGCACGTACACGCTCACTTCAGCAATACATATACTAAAATTGGAATGATACAGAGAACATGGCCATATTTAAACATTTTTGATAAAAAGTGGTTTAAGAAGGGAGGGAGGGAAGAGAAAGAAAGAAACAGAGAAAGAGAGATAGAGAAAGTGAGACGGAGCGAGGGAATGGAAGAGAGAACAGAAGGAAGAAAGGAAATTAGGATAAGGGAGGCAGGGAAGGAAGGAAGAAGGGAAAGAGAGAGGAAGGGAAGAAGGAAGGAAATCAGAGATCATCAATGCCAAAGTCTAATGTCATGGACATCTTTTGCCACAGAATTTCCATTCCCTTCCACTGGTGATACACAGGTCTTGCTTTCAAGATTCTCTCCTCTGCTGATAATCCTACAGGCTTTCTTTTTTCTTTTCTTTCTTTCTTTCTTTTTTTTTTTTTTTTGAGACAGTTTCACTTTGTCACCCTTGGTAGAATGCCATAACAGCATAATAGCTCACAGCAACCTCAAACTCCTAGGCTCAGGCGATTCTCTTGCCTCAGCCTCCTAAGTAACTGGGACTACAGGCACCTGCCACAACACCAGGCTGTTTTTTATAGACAGGGGCCTCGCTCTTGCTCAGGCTGGTCTCAAACTTCTGAGCTCTAGCAATCCATCTGCCTCAGTCTCCCAAGTGCTGGGATTACAGGCATGAACCACCAAGCCTGGCTCTTGCAGGCCTTTCAATCAAGGAACCCTACAGTGAGACTCTGTATCTAAAAATAAAATGTAAAAATAGAGCGGCACCTGTGGCTCAAGGAGTAGGGTGCCAGCCCCATACGCCAGAGGTGGCGGGTTCAAACGCAGCCCTAGCCAAGAACTGCAAAAAAAATAAAATAACAATAATGTAAAAATAATGTTTAAAAAACACACACAGCGTATTAGCTGTATTTCCTCATCTGTATGTGCTGCTCTAAGGCACAGGGCCTGGCTGGTGGGGAAACAGAATCCGAGGCTCCTCAGTCCCACTAAGATACTTCAATTGGTTCAACTCTCTTGTTGACTCTAGAAGAAACATCTGTCTATGTATCTGTTCACCTACTCATTTTGCACATGCACCGAGCACTCTTCAGTGTGTGACTGTATGACAGGTTCCTAGGGACTGTCCAGAGCCATAAATTCTACCTGCAAGCTGGCTCAGAGGAGAGGAATCCAGGACAAAGCCCATCTCCTGACTGATTGTTTACCATCTCCTCCCCCTCCTTAAGGGCCCAGGAATGTCTCCAAGATTAGATTGGAGCAGTGATTACTTCATTCCCAGCTATGGAATAAAATAAATCTCAAATCCCACCTTAAAAAAAAGGAATAAAAAGAGAATTACTGTCTTCTCCTTGCTCTAGAGGTCTCTGGTTAAGCTTCAAACTAAACTATGGCTGGAGACTCTCTGAATTCCTTGCTCACTATTTTCCTACCGACTCTTTCTGCTCCGCCAGACAAGCAGTGAAAATATCAAGAAATGTCAGAAGGTGACCATTCTCAACACTGCCAATGTCTGGTCTGGTCTTGTACTTCATTCCGGATCTCTTTGCTACAGCAAGCAAAATAAAGCACAAACATCCTCTGCTTTATTTATTTCACACATAGTACCATTTTCTCTCAACCACTCCAAAGCAGTGAGCAAGAACATGGAGTAGGAAGCCCATAATGGCCAGCACCTGTAGTCCCAGCTCCTCAGGAGGCTGAAAGACAGCTTGAGGCCAAGAGTTTGATGCCATAATGCACTATGATGGTGCCTGTGAACAGCCACCGCACTCTAAACTGAGCAGCGGTGAGACCCAAGAAGAGAAGGGAAAGGAGGGAAGAAAAAGTATAGAGTGGGACTTGGGGCTGACACAATGGGGGATGGATTTTTTTCATCTCTTGGGGGGTCCCACAGCTGGGAGAGCAGCAAGATACAGAAGACTGAGGTTGGGTCTGTAGCAAGATCTGGACTGTAATATGGCAGAAACACTGATAGCTTGGGCAGAATGGAAAGGGGACTGTCAGCAGAATTAAATGATCATTAGTATTTTAAACTTGTAATAAGCACCTATTCCACAAAATATTCTTTGAAGAACCATAATCCAGCGCAAGCTGGGTTAGCTCTACCTCACATGCTGAGACAGGCAGAGGGTAAGGGAATCAGACGGGGTGGGAGGTGGGGGGTGATACGGACTCCCTATCACTGTGGCTCCCATTTCACTCGCCCACAATAGCTTGGAAATCCATGAAGGAGTACACTCCTGTGTGGGTAAGCTCCCCGGCAGAGCCTAAGAACACTCAGCCACAACATTACCCCTCTCTGCCTCTGGAGAGGAGAAATCATTGGTAAGCTGGAGTGGGGAGAGGAACAGGGACAGAAGGCAGGACAGACCAGGTTGCACTAGCAGGACGCCCCTTCTCTCCCCAGGCCTCCTTCCAAATTGTCCAGAAGCCCTCGCATGGGTCACGTCCATTTCACTCTCAGACCCCAGGGAGTGCATCCCCTTTATCCACCTTGCCCTGGGCTGGGCGGCCGGAGACAGAAGCAAAACCAACAAACAGACCCCGGAAGCTACCAGCGGGCCGAATGGGGGAGGGGAGCCGGAGAACTGCAATGAGGGAAGGAGGAGAAATCTGAGACCGGCCGTGACCCAGCAGGCGGAAAGGCCCATCCCTCCCACAGTCCCTGGCCAGTCTCGCCAAAGTTAGTCCCACCGCCCACTCCCAACCCCCAACTTCCAGTCCGAGTCCTAGGATTTCAACCTCCACCCTTTTTCTTGTTATCGTCCACCCAAAGCACCATGAAATTCTTTGAATGGTCTCTGAGGTCACAAGGCTCCCAAGAAAGCATAATCCGCCTTGGCGGGGCACAATGTCCAAGACAGCCCAGCGATCCCGTCTCTGGAGCTCACTCTCCCACGACTGGGTCTAGCAGCCCATTAGACGCCGAGAAGCATGCTCAGAGACCCGCGGCCCGAGCAAGGGTTCCCAAGCGTCCAGTCCCAGGCGGCAGCCACAGCGTCCTCCCGAAGGGCTGGGACGCCCAGACACCGCAACTCTCAAAAGAGTCTCCGTTGCATGACGTCCCAAGACCGCCGCTGCTGGTCTCTGGCAAGAGAGCAGCGCCGGGAAGCGCTGACCCCACGGAGCCAGACACCAGGTGGCGCCGGGACGGCAAGCTTCGGACTTACAAACAGAGCATACCGGGCTGGAGGGAAGGCGGTGTGGACGCTTTTCCTTACCGCGGCCTGGTCCTCCGGGTGCACGTCCACCAGGGTACACCAATTCCGCGTCCCGTTCATTTTCCCCCTCGCCGGACTCGCAGCACACCACCCCACCCTCCGCCCCGCGGCCCGGTGCCTCCTAGGCGGGCGCGCTCGGACCCGCCCCGGCACAGACGCGTCAAGGGCGGGGGCTGCAAGTTCACCAACTAGAGACCGCGCGGGGTGGGCAGAGCCAAGAGGCTTTGGGACACGCCCCATCCGTGCTCGCTTACATTTGCATAAAGGTGGGGTTGGGGAGCCACTTGGGAGTGCCTAGTTGTACAGTGCCAGCTGACACTCCTTCACATTCTTCATTATTCGTTCAACTCTCCAAGATCAGTGTTGGTCAAAGGAAATCAGTCTGTTCTTAGAGGGTGAGGAGTTGAAGCGTGCAAAAGCTGCTGTACATTCTCCTTTCTGTACTTGCCGGCCTGTAGGACTTGCAGAGCTGAGTAAACCTTTCCTCCAACGCAGAAGGCGGGCACCAAGGGCCAGCTCACTCATACCAGTCTAAGCCAGTCTGGCAAGTGCCCTTCCCTGGCAAGAGGCCCAGGCCAAAGTCAAAGGCAGCTAGGTGGGGCTTGTTTTGTACAAACTATTATACTAAAAGTGCCCTTATATGGTTGGGAGAGGCGGGACACATTGCCTTAAAAGGAATTCGTATTCTTGGGCAGCACGTGTGGCTCAGTGGGTAGAGCGCCGGCCCCGTATACCGAGGGTGGCGGGTTCCAACCCGACTCCGGCCAAACTGAACAAAAAATAAGCGGGCGTTGTGGCAGGCGCCTGTAGTCCCAGCTACTGGGAGGCTGAAGCAAGAGAATCGCCTAAGCCCAGGAGTTGGAAGTTGCTGGGAGCTGTGACACTACTGCACTCTACAAAGGGCGATAGAGTGAGACTTTGTCTCAAAAAAAAAAAAAAAAGGAATTTGTATTCTTGAGAAAGGATGAGCCTCCACTTCTCCAATGGCGAAACGCTCCCCAAGCCTAGGTCAGGACCTTGAGGGCCTGCAAGAGAGGGCTGGCCAAACAGGACCCTGGAGGCTCCTCCCAGCTCAGCTGCTCTGAGCAGATGGCTATGGTCCACATGAACAAAAAGCAGAATAGGTGTGCCCCTACACTCGGCAGTAGGCTGTGGTGAAGGGCTAGCTCCCTTCTCAAGGCAACATAGGGGCAAGGATAGCAGAAACTTCCCTATCTTCCAGGTAGGGGTTGGGTCCATGCCAGTTGGAAATGGAGGGATGGGCTGGGCATGGTGGCTCCTGCCTGTAATCCTAGCACTCTGGGAGGATGAGGTGGGTGGATTGCTTGAGCTCATGAGTTTGAGACCAGCCTGAGCAAAAATCAAGACCCTGTTTCCACTAAAAAAAAAAAAGAAAGAAAGAAACTGAGGCAAGAGGATCGCTTGAAGTTGCTGTGAGCTATGATGCCACATTACGCTACCCAAGGTGATAGCTTTCAGAGTCTGTCTCAAAAAAAGAAAAAAAGAAAAGAAAAGGTGGCACCTGTGGCTCAAAGGAGTAGGGTGCAGGCCCCATATGCCAGAGGTGGCAGGTTCAAACCCAGCCCCGGACAAAAACTGCAAAAAAAAAAAAAAAAAAAGAAAAAGAAAAGAAAAGAAAGAAAGAAAGTTCTAGCTTCGGCCTTCAAGCTGTAAAGTTAATATAACCTTTTCATAAAACTCGGCCATCTAAATAAGCCAGGAAAAAGAATGAGAAGACGGGCCAAGGATTTCAATATAGATATATAATATTTAATTTGAAATAAAACCAAGGCTGGATTGAATTGGGACAGAACAATTTGCAGAAAAGTATGGAATTTTTTTTTAAATCAATGAAATTACAAGTCATTGTTGAGAACAGCCTTCCTCTTCTCACAAGTTCCCTATAGAAGCTGCTTAGGAAATAAGAGGTGAATCAGCCCCCTATTCTGTTCCCCACCAGGGCTTGGCTCTCCTTAAAATCCAAAGTAGAAATAAATCCTACTGCTTTTTGCCAGTTCTACCAACAGTCAGCTTCTATTCCAGGCAAAGCCCTGAATCACAGACAAGCTCCTGAAAAAATAAAGATCCCTTGGTTCTCTACTGAAGTTGTGCGCATCTGATCAGAAAAGCCACAAAGACGACCAGAGGGACTGAGACCTTTACTTTGGAAAGCTGTGTAGACAGGAGTCAAGGTTCCTAAGTACAACTACCTTATAACCACATCTGTAGTCAAGAGGAAGGAGAAGAAGGACGGAAACCCTGAGCAGAACCAGGCCCCCACCTTATCATGGCTCCACCAAAGTCCCTCTCATAGGGGTTCGTTGGTAAAGAAGCCAGCAAGCAGCTCTCTTGACCAGTCACTGGGGCAGCAGGAAGGCTGAGAGCCCTGGGTGGGGAAAGGCAGGTCTTTGGAGAGGTATGAATGTGCAGATAGAAGTGGCAAGAAGAGCACCCTTATCTCCTCCCTCTGGCTAAGGCACTGAGAAGAAAACAGCAAAGTTGGTATGGTGAAGATGGTAAAGGATAAAGGATCCCTTACCAGCAGTTCTCAACCTATGGGTCGTGACCCCTTTTAACTTTATTAAAGGGTCTCAGCATTAGGAAGGTTGAGAACCACTGCCTTAGACCCAGTTGCCTGGAGAAGACAAAATAAAGGAACTGGAGGGACATGGGGACCACCACATGGGTCCCCTGACTGTGCAAAGAGAAGCATTTGAGAAGTGGGTAGAGCCACGCCTGCGTGTCCATTACCCATAACATTCCCCTCACCCTGTCCCAGAGCGAGAGGAAAGTGGGCTGCAGAAATCCAGGGAGCAGACTAGCTGAGGGTATTTCCTGAGCCTTAGGGTTAAGGGATAAAGAAATAAACTTTATACACATGGCAATTCCTATCCCTTCCTACCCTGCTCAGTCCTCTAAGAAAACATGCTGACCATCCTTCCACTATGAGGGAGATAGGCATCGGCACTTAAGGGAGAGGCTCAGTTGGCCTAAAATATCCACTCCTCCAGTGGAAAGAAAGTCCATCTATCAGCTTACTACTGACGTCTTTCTTTTACACCCTCACTCAGACCCCTCCCTGTCTTAGGTCTGAATAACTGGGTCACCCACAGGCATGAGGAATGTTAGGTGGGCAGGGCAGAGCAGGGTTGACTGGGATAGGACTGGTTTCTGAGCCCTCCTAACAGGAGCTAGTCTGCAAGTTGCTCTCTGTAAGCAGTGATGCGATGGATGAGGGATCGTAGACACTGTCGAATTCCTCATCTGAGCTCAGCCCTTCATGTTTGAGGGCTGACTCAGCAGCTGAGCGGGAAGCTTTGCGCCTAAGTCAGAGAGAGAATATTGGTAAGGTAGGGAAAATAGAAAATTTGAGACAGCCACCCTTTTCATGCTAAACTCTGATTTTTCTAAGGCAGTGGTTCTCAACCTTCCTAATGCTGTGACCCTTTAATACAGTTCTTCATGTTGTGGTGACCCCCAACCATAAAATTATTTTCGTTGCTACTTTATAACTGTAGTTTTACTACTGTTGTGAATCATAATGTAAATATCTGATATGCAGGATGTATTTTCATTGTTACAAAGGGGTCATGACCCACAGGTTAAGAACCACTGTTCTAAGGCCTAAAGTCAGTCACAAGATCTGAGATTTAGGGACCTAGGGTACAGGATGGTGGCTGAGACAGAAAATCATGGCTGAGCAAGGTGGCCTTCATGCCTTTAACCCTAGTGCTCTGGGAGGCCAAAGTAGGAGGATCCCTTGAGCAAGAGCAAGAGCAAGACCCCACCTCTACCAAAAATAGAAAAACTAGCTACTTGGAAGGCTGGGGCAGGAGGCTTGCTTGACCCCAAGTATTTGAGGTTGCTGTGAGCTATGATGATGCCATGGCACTCTAACAGGATGACAGAGTAAAACTCTTATCTCAAAAATAAATAAATAAATAAATAAATAATAATACTGGCTTCCGGTCAGGAATAAGTGACTACATAGTCCTATCCTAGAGGTTCTCCTCCTTAGCCAGAGCCCTTCTAGCTCTGTGGTCCCTATGAAGTAGATGGAAGAATAGCTCATACCAGGAGTCCTTTTCCAGGGATTTGATCCGGGCCTGGAGTTGTTCATTGACCTCATGCTGCTCCTCCAGCTCCCGCTGGGCCTTCTTCCTCAGGCCATCCAGTCGCTCAATTTCCTCTTCTGCTTCATCCACCTGCCGCTTCAAAGCCTTCACCCTCAGGCTCAGCTGGGCGGGATACCAAGTCCCATTAGGAGAATATCTGCTACCATGGCCCAGGACCCTCTCCGATCTTGACAAGGGATAATTTCTCTGGAAAAATGTGACTGTGGGCAAGTCCTTTGTCCTCTCAGGGTTGTCTTGGGGATTAAATGGGTGAATATATGTAGGACACTTAGAGAACCCAGAACCTCACAAGCGCTTAATACTTGCAACGACTGCTCTAGTCTAGGCCTTTCAATCTAATCTCCCTGCCTTTATACAGGAAAGTCCAAGTTTATGAGAAATACTGGAAAGGGGCCTCCCTGGCCTTCAAGTAAACATGTAATATATATTTGCTCCACAGCTAAGGGCCCCAGTGCCAAGTCCTCACCTGGTCTTTCTGGTTATTGACATGCTGCCGCTCATCATCAATCTGGATGGACAGCTCTTTAACCCTCCGCTCCAGTTTTCTGTTGGTGGACTGCAGAACTGTCTTCTCCCTGAGGTTGAGGTAGAAGGATGTCTCTGGGTATCACCATTCCTAAAGGATCCTGAACTTAGCCCTCTCCTGCCTCTAGGAACTTCTCCCAGCCACGAGCCCACCTCAGACTGGGGAGGAGCCAGGGTAGACCCAAAGAACCAGGGAAATTGAGGTCATTCCAGAGTTTCTGCAACTCTCCCTGCTTTTTATCAGGAGAAAAGAGCCAGGTTGGCCAAGTCTAAGGTGGAAGATAGCGGAAGCCCCAGAGAGAGGGAAGAAGGAAAAGAAGGGTGGAGGGAGGGAAGGAAAGAGCAAGGACAGGCTCATGTCACCTTTCTTCAGCCTGTAGCCGCTCCTGCAACAACTGATTCTGGGACTCAAGCTGAGAGAGGCTGGCACTGGGCTTCTGGAA